GCACAGATGAAGAGAGTCGAGGGTTATGTATAGAGACAACATCGATTGGCAGAGCTCCGAAAAAGGAGTAGGGCAAAGGGTGGACCGACGATTGTTGTTCTCGCCTCGTGGTCAGCGCGAACACTAGACCTGAAAGGTTCTCATAGGGAGTCGCGGATACATTACGGCGAAGACCCGGGAGTGCGAACTTTCGGCACCCCTTTCCAGAATGAAATCATGAGACGAGTTTCACCACTCCGGCGCTTAACTATTGATCCATGATCGTCGACACCCTTGACCTTATTATTTCAATTTTCAATGGGCACCAACATACCAAGGTCAACTCGCTGAAATCGACCGACACACACAGAACATTATAGATGAAGCGCTGACTCCGGATGGACATCAAAACCAAAGCCCACTCCTCGGCGACATTGACTACTTCTTGGATCCCTTCTTTCCTGGAGGACGGTTCCGTGGGTTGTTACTAGGCTTGTGAGGAACATGCTGCTCGTTCTTGACGTTTTGTCGTACTCTCCAGCCTTCTTTGTGGCTTGGATATGCCGGTGGCCCATACTACATACTGTAAAGCTTTTGCGAGCTATTGCACGCAGCACCTTCAGGTTCACCAAAATTCAAGGCCCTGAAGTATCGGAAGACAAATAGTAAGAACCCTATCCCACTCTTGACTGTCGCAGCCATCACACTGATGAAAAGCTACATTGAAGCTGTATTCATCCATGCCGCCGCACGAGACCGCACGTTCTGGATGCTCGTCTGGCCCATACCAAGGAAGGACACTGCCAGACCCCGAAATCCGTTGAAACAGTCCAATCTGACCGGACTCTGGATAGCAGGGGCTCGGATACGCGTTTCCAGTGGTTGTAACACAAAACCGCAGGCGGTTGATAATCACAGGAGGTTTTGAATGCCTACAAGAGGCAGTTTGTTTCCCGACTCTGGTAAGTACAATTTATTAAAACGGGAAATTATTTATCTAGCTGGCGGACTGTCACACGCAGTGAAGCTTCACCTAGTCCACTTGCCATTACGATTGGACTGCTCAACCGATGCCCACCCGGGCCATGTATTCACCCTCTAGCAATGTCCCTCGCCAAAGTTGTTTGAAGCACCAACAATAATATTCTGTCTTATCGTAAATTCATAACGCTACAAGTGAATGGAACGGCAGACTTACATAGTTCTGGGTGTCCCAAGCCTGGCCAGAAAGCGTGCAGCTACCACTACAGACAGCACATTGGTTCAAAATGGCCTGGGCCATACCATAGCCCAACTGGATGAATTATTAGTATCGAAAGTTGGCTAGTTACTGATAGCCAAGAAAATTTACATAGTTGCAGCTGGGGCCGATGGTGTAAGAGTTCTATGGTTGCGTTACTCTAGAGAAACCAAAACCAATTGTATGGTCTAGGAGATAACACTCACGTCATTGCAGTAATATATGGCAGAGTTATCGGAACAGGTGACACGCGAACATGCTGGCTTGGGGCCAAGGTTACAGGCTCCAGCCCCGAGGTTGTTCAGGTAGTCGATACCCTCAGCGATGTCGCTATAAATAGCACCGCCCTCGACGTTGCAGGCGACACGATCCTTTACAAAGTTAATTTCCTTCCTCGACTTCTCTCTTGATTGAACGAAAGAAAGTCTTTACTTACGGGAGTGCGCTCTTCTATGGATATGAAATCACGCTTTTCAAGGTTGAACGCCACAATGTTATACTTGGGGTTCATCTCAATGATTTGGTCATAGATTTCCTAACGGTGTATATTAGTGTATACACACCACAGTGGAGAAAAATGCCTGCGTCGTCTGGACTAACCTTTGGAGTTCCAGTAATGGTAAGATTGGCTCCACCTGGGGTAATCGGTCCAACATAGGTAATTGGGACAAGCTTGGCGGTATCCGCGACTGTAGCCAATATGCCATTTCGAGTAGCTGAGGCCTTTCACGAAGTCAGTTAGGGGCTCTTGAATGATAATCGATAATCTCTGGAAACATACAAATAAGGCCCGGATGGTAGTTAAAGCGAAGATTGAGAATTTCATTGTGAAGAATGCGCCTTGGTCAAGCGAGTTAGTACGAGATTTGAAATGGACCAGCCTTTATATGATTTGGGGCAGCCTGAGAGGAGAACGGAAAAAATAGGATTGTAGGCAAAATGATAGATCTTCCTTTGATCTTCCTTCGCCAAAAGATAGTTGTTGATATTGTAGATATATGCCTCAGAACTACTTGAGCCATCATGCACATGTCTTGAGACCACTCGTGAGCACGAGGATCATATTAGCACATCTTCCATCGACCGGTGATAAGCATTCCTGCTCTTCTGACCGCTGAAAACCCAAACTTCATATGTCATTTGCACTTCCTATCGCACTTTAATGCAGCCCCTTTTGAAACTCAGCATAGCTCGCACCTCCAACCCTCGGACTCTGGCACATCATTCCTCCCAAACTCCGTCGATTCATTTCGGACCCAGCTACTGTGATGTACACCACACAATCTCGCTTCGTCTTCGACTTCCATGCAGCCTTCTAGCCTGATTGAGGCTTGAACGAAGGCAAGCAAATGAAGGGTTTGGACGGTCAAGAGATAGGGATTGATAGATAGGACGACAGAGGGGCAAGCGATGGTGCGTACTCGCACCGTCTTCCAGTCGATTTTTTCTTCATCCGTCCCTTTAGAAGTGCTCAGTTTTACCATATCGCCATTCTCGTCGCTGGCTCTCTGCCCCTGTGACCTAGCGACGTAGAAGCCTTCTTGTCCCGACACGAGGGTTCATTGATCCTCGCTGTTCGTTCTCTTGTCAGTCAGGCATCTACTCATGCCCACTTTTGTTCGTGACCTTTCCTGTGCGAGGAACTGGCTTAATTCATGATGTTAGAAAAGCTGCGGGTCTGTCTGCCTAAGACTTCATTATCCGCTGTATCTTCTTTCTTCTGCTTACCCATTTAACCTGCTACGAAGCCAAGGAAAAACTAGTTAGACGCAGCTCAGGATGCCTCCCGTCTGTCCCATACCATTGTAGTCCCCTTATCTCACTTGTCAGTCCATCACTCAATGAGGAGGGTGAAAGTTCTGTACATGTTCGCTCGATATTTTCCCTTCGGTATACAATGGTGAATGTCTACCTTTAAATACTCTCACTGCTGACTATGAAATTGTTCTAGGGTAAATACATATATTGTGTTCGTTCCACTGTCCCGAGTGCCAGTTCCAAGGCATGGATGCACGGGATGGTTTCTTTTCTTAACTACCAGCGCAAGCGTTCTTCTGGCCGCCGTTGACACCTTTGATTATGCTCAGAGGTGAGAATCATGGTCGTGTGATGTCAACAGATTGAATAAAACCCAACGACATGTAGTGTACGCCCTCTATAATTGCAGCTGGAAGATGGCGATATTCCTCACAAGTCTATTAGCTATGCAAGGGATGCTGATCGCGATATATTCCTCGCGACCTCTCCATCATTCTCTTACCCTTCGGCGAGACCTGCAACATTCTCGAAACTCCCCGCGAGGCGGCATATATCATGTGTGTTTCTTCATCATCTTGAAAGAGCCCGTTAATGGACATCAATTTACAGGGCTGGCGTTGTGGTTACTCAAACAATTTTATTACTTTTAACCATCACGAAAAGAAAAGTAGCATTTGGCGAGTCGGTTGTTGTCCACCTTGTAGTCCGTGGCGGTGCTTGGGTATTCGTTCTCATTGTTTGTGAGTCGAGTTTGAGTTATCAATGTATACATTCTGATCTCTGTTTACATCTTACCGTTAGCCTTGTGGGTGACAATTATACCCTACTTACTCTCTGTTTACACAAGTGGCAAAGCCCCAGTGGGCATCATGCTTGTGTACGTTCCTTTACTTCCCATACTTGAAGTCAGCACAAGTTGCCATGAGAGAAATTGCTCAAATAGATAGACACATCGGCAAAGTTCTGCCGTGTATCATCCCACTTGAAGTCGTGGTCCATGGGTTGGGAGATGACAGCATAGACGGTCCCATCGTCACCTGTTACATGTTACATGCTTGAGGCCAGGAGACGCGGAAAGCAACTTCCTTGATAGGATCGCTCTGTTGATAGGCGACGAAGAGTAAATTGTCAGGGGTACCGGTAATGGCCAAAGATATAAATCAGCATGGTATTGGATATGGTTCGATGAAATGAGCAGCCAGATACCTACTCACCACCGTGAATGATGTTCTTTGAGTCCAGTTCGCACAACACCTCAAATACGTCTGACATTATTTTCTTTACGATGTGCGCTGGCAAGTATCCTCCTGACTCGTTGCTGAGACGGAATGACTCAACTGATGGGCCTAGGACGTGCAGCACCAGACAGAGATGTCTTCCCTTGGGACTTTGCTCGTAGAAGTGATCCGCTAGAACTGGAAGTGATATAAAGCTATCCCGAAGAAGTCCGAGTCTTTCGTGGCGGCAGCAGTGAATATTTTTACATAGTCTCGCACTCACCAGCAAGGGGTCTTCGCTATTCGCATCAACTGCAAGCCAACTGGAAGATCTTGGTCCCCAACCCAATTTTGGGACGATCTTCCATCTGCGTGACCATTCTGAAGCGTTTGACCAGGTTCAGCGGTGCATAACCGAGGGGAGTCATGTTGTTCTTCTGGGGAGGGTGACATCTGTGTAGTGGTTTACTTGAAAGTTCAAGCAATCAAGGACTCTAAAGATAAATACCCCAATGTTGCCCTAATGCCCAACGGTTCCCAAAGGATGTAAGTAAAGTCATCGCCATTGGGCGCCCGCCGCCATCAACTTGTTAATCGGAGAGATTCCTCCTGGAGAGCATCCCGCTTGGACTAGCTACATACCCCCGTGCATCGACACTGAAGAGGCACCTATATCTGGGACTTCGAGAGGAAAGACAAGTTACAAATCAAAGAAATGTCGGTGAATAATCGGAACCCTCAGGCTGTCAACATTTGTTTTGTATGTTGAGGAAGAATTTTCAAAGGTCAAGTAAGAATTGTTTACATCTCTGTTAGTATATCGGTTAGTACACGCGCCTGTCACTCTGGCTTTCGAATGTGTCCGCGCGAAAGCTGGGTTCGACTCCCAGACAGAGAGCTCGATGACGGCCTGCCGAATTTTTTTTTCTTCGATCAGCTCTGTTAGATTTGTGATTCGTTTTTGAGTCTCAACGTTAACGCGCTCCTGAATGCCACCGTCAAGAAGTTCCCCAAACATATTCACCTCTATGTTGCAGGGGCACATGCACGGTGTATAGCCAGTCCAAGTATTACAGTACTGATTATCCGGGCTCATTCGATGCTTACCTGAGGGACGGAGAGCTCAACGTCACCTCCAGAAAGGTGGGTCAAAGCTATGGTCGGAATCTTTTTTTAATCTCCCCTTAAAATTATTCCGAATCCGACGCGCACACAACGGCGAACGGCGGTCAACTTATGAAATTCATCTTGAACCTTGCCTTCTTCAAGGTCAAGGACTCAAGGTTGCACCGGCACCGCCAGTTTGCCTTGCTACTAAGAGCATCTCATCATCACATCGCTGCCACCGACCTGGTCACAATGACTGAAACATCGTCCATGTCGTTGCTTCGTCTTCCCAAAGAAATGCTGCTCGAGATATTTTCAAGGACGAACGAAACAAAAACTATCATGCTGGTGTGTCATGCCCTTCGTGAAGTCCTCTATTCCATACCATCGGCATGGTCGACCATTCATGTTGGACCACGGCAGATTACTTCTGACGGCAAAGTATTCCTCAGCAAGCGCCTCGAACGAACAAAGTCGTGCCCACTCAATGTCACCATTCGCATGGACTGGCAGTCGACGAACACCGAAATTAATATATGGCCGACATTAGCGGAGCACAAAGCTCAAATCCGCACCTTCGATATAAGCGCGGACGGCGTGATTCAGTTAGGAATGGTACTTCATGCCATCCTCATGACACCCACAATCGCAGTTTTAACAGAATTGCGGGAATTCTCCCTCCGTGTCGACCATGATAAAGAATCCATAGACAATCGCCGACCACTCGATCCAGAGACCTTACTTAAATCTGTCGGAGTGGTACTTCCTGCGTTGACGTCCCTCGTTCTCCCCTTGTCTCCGGACTGCGTGCCATACCTTCAATCGCCTCTACCCTGCCTTCAGATCCTTGTTCTCGATGGATCGGGGTCACGGGCATGCTTCTATCCCAGCCTTCACCAACTCACCCAATTCCTTGTCCAAACCCCAAACCTGGAAACACTTTGGTGCAAAGTACACGGCGTGTACATGCACGAGGACATGGAGGTGGAGTCCTACGGCCCGTATAATCATCCAGGACGTGGCAGTTCCATCGTTGTGAAAATCCCTGTGTCGCTACCTCGTCTTGTACGAATGGCGGTGACCGTCCCAGGGTATGGATTGGATCTGTTGCATCTCATAGATGCTCCCCAGCTGGAAGATCTCCACATGGACGGTTCTCGCGATGTCAATATTATGGATTTTGAAGTACAATGGGTAATTGGTTGCCAAGAACGTGGCAGACGGACTTGCCAACTTGCCCCGCGTTCACCTGCCCTCCGTCATCTCGCAGTTACGGAAGTATACTTTTCGCGTGCTACCTGGGAATGGCTCTTGGGATGCGATAGAGCCCGAGGAACGCCATTCCCGCAGCTGGACAGTATGGCGATCCACGATTTGAGAGGCCACGGCGCAGTCACCAACACATTCGACAACGAACTTTTGCAGTCATTTCAACTCGAGGGCAGCTTATTTGCGCCGATTTGCTTTCCTTCGATCCCATCCCCCCTTCGCGGAAATACGATCCTCCAGATGGTGGACAGCTTATGCGAAGATCGCCGAATCAGCATTTCAACTCGAACTCGATAAAACATGTCGAGGTGTCGCGAAATCTCACCTTAACAAACTTAGAGAGAAGGGTGTTGAGGTGACATATCATGAGATCCAGAGGTTGTGCAACAGACGGAGTGGTGGACTTTGGGGAAGGACATAGATCCAGCGAGAGATATATTTATTAGATACAATGTCACCATATTTAATATTTTTGACGACATCTTCTCGCTAGATTCCGTGCTTTCCCACAAACGAGGGTAAATGATACAAAATCTTGAGCAAGATACGCTCGCTGGCCAGTGTTATGGTCCGTTGTCCTATGGCTCATGGCCGGCCCGAAATTCCCCTCCGCACTGGAAGGATCGACGTATTCATTTCTGGATTATTTCAAGCCATCATGTCAACTTCGTCAAATCAGTCCCAACGTACGGAAATTATCATGGGTGCGAAGGCTGACTTTACCAGTGCTGGACCTCGTTTTGCTTGAACTTGCCCCCAAGGTATTACACCAAACGTCCATTCATTTCCGACGAACGTCTAGCCTCTCTTCCTTCAAGTCTCTTCAAAGGTGCGCGGGTGCTGGATATAGGATGCAACGAGGGTTGGGTGACTTGCGAAATTGGTGAGTGCAGAAGCGTTTCTCGCCCATTCTCGGTGACAAATCGGTATTCTTATCCTCCAGCGCAATCCCATGGCGCACATTTCGTCGTTGGCGTTGATATCGACGACACATTGATTCAGGCAGCATGGAGGAGGAGACTTGCGGTATGGTCAACCCAAGGCCCTTCACAGCCTAGACATGCAGACGACCACGATGAAGAAATGGTTGCCGACTCGGCCCTACCCCGACGCGTCATTACTTTCCAGCATCCTGCGAACATGAATTCGGACCCTACCAATCCCGCCTTCATCCACAGAGGGAAAACCGCCTTCCCGCATAACATTTCGTTCCGTACAGCGGACTGGACAAGACGGAAATTCCAGAGGATTCAGAGGGTTATGATGTCGTTATTGGGCAAGTCGTCATCATCTTAAGTCTTGAATTGGACTTACCGGAGGATATTTCAACTCAGATTCTCCGTTTCCAAGTGGATTCACCTTAACGGCGGGGATGAAGGACTCAAACATTTTTTCCAACGTGTGCATGACGTGCTGAAACCTGGAGGAACCTTTGTGCTCGAACCTCAGTCATGGGAGTCATACGCCAAAGCCAAACGGATGGACCAGGTTTGTATTTTATCCTAAGTCCTCTTCCATTGTGCGGAACTCTCAGTGCCTCCTTTTTCAGAAACTGAAAGAAAACGCGAACAAGCTTGTTATCCGACCGTCAGATTTCGAGTCAATATTGCAAAATGTCGGATTTTCGCCCGCACAGCATTTTGGATTTATTGGTGAAGGAGGTATGTTTCCCTTTCCTACACATCATGAACGTTTTCGATATATGATTGGGTTCCTAATAATTATTTAGGTTTCAACCGGCCCATCGATTTGTATACTAAAGTCTGATCCGTGGCAACGATCCCTTATTTGCACCTTAGAATGCGTATGATTTTTCTCTTCAGACGAGGATTATAATTTTTTCCCCTCAGTTTATTGCCAGCTACATAGGTGTATCCGGCGGATGGTACTATCTTGTGCTGTTTATGTTCTCCTAGAACGCTATGGGAACTCCAACGTCCTGTGTTAAACTCTCTGGCGTATTCTTGGAAGAATCGCGGTCATTTTTTATTGACATTTCATCATCTTTGTTGTACATCTAACGTAAATGCCAGAAATCGTCAGGACCAACTTCGTGGTTGCATTGGCCGAAATCTTACCTGAATACGTGATAGAGCTATGTCGTCGTCCCAGACCTGTTCGACCACCGTACGCTGGATGCGAATTTCTGCTATACCGTCAAAACTGCCTGAAGGAGCCTTGTTGCCGCTATCATAGCAGTTTTCGGCGTCTGCCAAGGGCGGCGGACCACCGACAGCATGGGGACGATTGTTGAATGTGGCGAGAATGGTGATTGAATACATCTTGGTAATAATACGGCCGGCAGGACGAAGTACCACTAATGTCGGGATGTTTGCGGAAACCCACAAACAAAATTGTGCTTGCGATAGAAGACGTTGCTAAGAAAACATTATCTACTTCAGAAATGCGACGGTGAGAACTAGGCTCTCTTACCTGTGATAATACCCGTTTCAATGGAAAGACGAATAATTTGAGTGACGAGGAGATCGGTTTTCCGGAAACCAGTGGACATTCTTGATAACTAAATCTCTTTCAGGAAACACAGCATTGACATTTATGAGATAACTCACATAGTAGGTCATGCATGCAGCGATAACAACGTCACAAGCTGCTCCGAATCCGTTCCATAGCTACAAAAAAAAACGATTAGAATATTTATAGGGTCTGAATCATCGAGCGCTTACACCGCAGGTAAGGTAAACCCCGAGGTAAATGCTGCGTTGGAAAGAGAGCCTGCCTCGAAGAGCTTTGCTCCAAAAACAAAGGCACAGGAACTAGCACATATTGCCAGCTACAAGACATGAACGAAAGCATGGTTATGAGTAAAAGGCGTCAAACAGCACAGTGATATGATCTATCACTTACGGCGGTGATCAAGCACCCTATGATCTTCGATTCCGACACTCGGTAAATACGGTAGGCAAATATCAAGTGGCATAGCAGCCCAACTGAAAAGAAATCAGTTCGTTTGCCAGGGCGTCAGGTTAGGGCCGAAATTTTGAATACTGACCGAGGCCTCCCATGATAGGAATTGTGAGTGGGAGTAGATGCAACTTGTTGATGACAAAAGGGTTTCCAAAACCGAGTGCGAACAGCTGGTATGTGTCGCGGGTTACTAGAACAAGTTGAATCGTTTCTAGAGCCAAGGCACCGTATACCAGTAACTTCCTGGATGTCGGATCCCTCGGAAAGCTCAGATAATAGTTGTCTGCGGCAATGAAATAGTATTCATAGGTAGTGGATACGATACGATGAGGACTTACAGACTTGTACGCATAATATCCCATGTAAACCCCAGGTGAACAGGGATACTAATTGCTGACAAAGAACAGTTAATGTCGAACCGTAACGGATTGGCGTCTAGACTAAATACCAGAGACGACAGTCTGAAGAGCAGGCAGAATATTAGTAGAAGTAATGTACGAGACACAGCTCGAATGCGGACGTACACGGCTCGTAATAATTCCTTGAAGTGTACACTCTTGAGCTCAGCTGCAAGTCCGGCGTCCATTGTAGAGAGGT